TATTTTACACATATAATGTTATCATGCTTATTATCATGATTACTCGGATGATGATGCTGATGATGATGATGATGTCAGTGATGCGGGTGATGATGCTGATGATGATGATGATGATGATGTTGTTGTTGTTTCTGATGATGATGATGATGGTGGTGATGACCACCACGATGATGATGAGGATGATGATGCTGATGATGATAAGGAGGATGCTGATGCTGATGCTGATGCTGATGCTGCTGCTGAGGTTGATGATGATGCTGATGCTCATGCTGATGCTGATGCTGATGCTGATCTTGATGATAACGATGATGATGGTGAGGATGCTGATGCTGATGAGGATGAGGCTGATGATGCGGATAATGCTGATGCCGCTGCTGATGATGATGTTGATTTTGATGATGCTGATGATGTGGCTGATGATGAGGATGACGATGATGTAGCTGCTGCTACTGCTGATGATGCTGATGATGACGACGATGATGATGACGACGATGATGATGATGCTGATGCTGGTGCTGATGAGGATGGCGGTGATGATGATGATGCTGATGCTAACGATGATGATGCGGAGGAGGCTGATGATGATGATGATGATGATGGTGATGGTGAGGATGGTGGTGATGATGAGAAGGAGGATGCTGATAATGATGATGACGATGATAATGGTGATGAGGATGATGATGCGGATGAGGATCAGAATGTGAGTTATTATGATGCTAAGGATAACGATGATGATGATGATGATGATGATGATGCTGATGATGATGATGATGATGATGATGATGTTGATGCTGCTGCTGCTGATGATGCTGATGATGATGATGATGATGATGACGACGACGGCGACGATGATGATGATGATGCTGATGATGATGATGCTGATGCTAGATATGATGATGACGATGATGATGATGATGATGATGCTGCTGCTGCTGATGATAATCTGCTAATGGTGATGCTGATGCTGATGCTGATGATGCTGATTACGATGGTCATGAGGATGAGGCGGATGTTGAGGAGGATGCTAATGATGATGATGAGGAGGAGGATGCTGATGATGCTGATAATGATGATCAGTATTATCAGTATTCTTGTTATTATTCGTATCGTCATTCATGTATCGTTACCATGTGTATTTTTATGATTACTCGGATGATGATGTTAGTGGTGCGGGTGATGATGCTGCTGATGATGCTGATGATGATGGTAGTGATGATGACGACGATGATGATGAGGATGATACTGATGATGATGATGCTGATGATGATGATGATGATGCTGGTGATCATGATGATGATGATGACGATGATAAGGAGGATGTTGATACTGATGCTCATGATGATGATGATGATGCTGATGCTAATGCTGATGCTGATGTTGTCGCCAAGGATGTTCTTGATGATGATGACGATGATGACTATGGTGATGATGATGGTGCTGATGATGAGGATATGACTCAGGATGCGAATAATGCTGATGCCGCTGCTGATGATGATGCTGATTCTGATGACGATGCTGATGATGCGGCTGATGATGCGGATGACGACGATGATACTGATGCTGATGCTGATGCTGCTGCTGCTGATGATGATGATGATTTTGCGGATGAGGATGATGACAATGCGGATGATGATGCTCTTGATGCTGTTCATGCTGATGGCGGCGATGCTGATCATGCTGATGATGATGATTAGGATGCGGACGAGGACGAGGATGAGGATGATGGCGATGATGATGTTGTGAATGATGATGAAGTTGACTCTGATGATGGTGTTCGTGGTGATGATGATAAAACTGATGATGATCGTGACGAGGATTATGATGATGATGATGATGATGATGATGATGTTCAGATGATGGTGGTGGTGACGAAGGTGGCGATTCTGATGAGTGTGGTGATGATGATGATGATGATGATGATGATGATGATGATGATGATGATGATGATGATGATGGCGACAGCGACGAACACGAGTATTAACCGAATGATGATGACAACCACGACGTGTTTATATCCTTGGGATGATGGTGGTGGTGGTGGTGATGATGATGATGATGATGATGATGATGATGATGATCCTGCTGCTGCTGCTGCTGATGGTGATCATGATGATAATGACGATGGTGAGCAGGTGGACGATGATAGTCAAGTGTATTGCTGGGACGGACATAAGAGTGGATAAGTAGGAGGATGGCCCAGGCGTTTCTTCTTCTTCTTCCTCCTCTTTTTCTTCTTCTCCTTCTTCTTCTTCTCTTTTCTTTTTCTTCCTCTTCTTCTTCTTTCGGTGATCTCCACGACGTGTGTTGGCCCGGTGTGTGTGTGTGTGTGTTTACCCCGTTCAGCTCAGCCGATAGCACGCAGCCCGTGCCTGCCCTCATTTATGACATCGTCTGCGTTGTAGTGGCGGGCGGCGCCCAGCACGCTCGTTCTGAGGATCATCTATGCTTCCTCGTCCTTTTTTGCCCCTCCTCTTCTTGCTCCTCAGCTTCACAAACCCAGTTGCGCATGCCAGCTGATTGGGCAGGGGTTGATGATCGGGAAGTCCCTGGCAGTGACGAGGTGAACCGATCGTCCCCCTACGCACCACGCCCTCTCGGCTGGAGCCAAGTCGCTGGGCGACGAGGTAGCTGCCTATCCCCTGCTCGTCGGTGCGCGCGCCTTGGGGCCCGCTTCCTACCGTAAGGGGGAGGCCGGGGGTGCCGGTTTCCTGCCATTGCGGTGTGCACAGTCCATTACCTGGACCCATGACTCCATGACTCCTTTTCCATTCCTCGGATGAGCCTCGAGTCGAGGGACATCCGTTCCAGAGCGTTCCGGAACGCTTTTCTGGAGTGCTCTGAAGCGGCCGCGCCGCCCGATACGTTTCCCAACCCCGCCGATTCTCAGGGATCTCTGATTTGTATCGGTCCGATGTTGTCTCGATTTTGCCTTCGTCTTAATTCCTCGCATTTCTGATACATCTGCGACGAGGCTCGGACAGGGCTGGGACCATTATAGATCAGTTACAGAGCGTTTCGGAACGCTCTTAAAGCGTTCGGGAACGCTCTGAGAGTGCCGTGGCGCACGAAGCATTTTCCAGATCCGCCGGATCGCAGAGAGTCTCGATTTATCCTCGCCCGGATATATTTTTGTTTTGGCTTCGTTTTAGAGGCGCGATCCTCCGACCCCATCTCAGCTCGGGACACCGTTTGGGGGGCCCTCTTAGTGGGAGAGGCCGAGCGGGGGGGCCCGAGGCTCGCTGAGCCGCCAGGTGTGCCAGTGGTTTCGGCTTCTCATCTTTGCCGTCTGTTCCTCCTCCACCTCCGCGTCTGCCCTCCTCCCTCGTCCTTCCTCCCTCCTCCCTCCTCCCTCCTCCCTCCTCTTTCATCCTTCTCGTCGTCCTCCTCTTCCCCCTCCCGCTCTTCCCCCTCCCCCCCTTCCTCCTGCTCCTCCTCCTCCTTCTCCTCTTCGCCCTCGTCCTCCTCTTCCTCCTCCTCCTCCTCCACCTCTTCCTTCTCCTGCTCCATCAGGAGGGATCAAAAACATATAGACACAAACGCTCGTGGACTCCCAAGAAAATTTGGAAGATCAGGGAAAAAAAGGGGGAAGCCGAGAGGGGGTACTAAGAAGGCTGCGGGGCTTCTCAGAAACCTTCGGGTCTTCCGAGAATTGTTCTGTGTCTTCGGGGAAGGCTCATGCATCTTTCCAAAAGGCCGGGGGACGTCCGAGCCTTCTGAGAATTGAGTCTTTCGACTTTACTGATGTGCGTCTGAGTGGAATTGTTTGTCACTTTAAACGGGGCAACGCCAGCGGTGAAGACGAGCGGCTTTCCGTGGTTGTACACGACGCCGGCGTCGTAGTTTGTCGTCGTCTTCGTGTCGGAGGTTTTGGGAGGTTTTTGCCGCCGCGGCCGAGCGCAACTCGGCAAGTTGGTTCCTTTGAGCGGCTTTTGGTCGGGTGACCACCTAGACAAGGGTTCCTGGTAAACGTAAAGGGTTTGGTGGGGCGACGAGTTCCACTCACTAAACATATCCATCGCCGCTGGCCAGGCACTTCCTGGGCACAGGATTAGGGGCAGCGATAGGGAGTGATAGGCACAGGGGGGGAACGTCGACCTGGAGCCGGCGATACATCGCCGATAGATCGGCGATAGGCCCCCGATAGTGGATCCGCACGTTCCTGGACAGGTTGGGGCTATCGGCCCCCCTACTGGCGATCAGTGGGCGATTGGGGGTCGATGCATCCCCGCTATCGTTGCCCTCGACAGGAGCGGTGTGTATGCCTCCCTGGCCTGGAGTGGCAGAGTCGTTCAGCCTCCCCGGGGGGCTTTTCCCGCGCCCCCTTTGGGCCGACAGGGCGACTTCGGGCCGATTGAGATCCGCCTCCGCGCTCCTTGATTTGGCGGCGCGCACCCGGGGGTGGCTTGCTTGGGGTGGGGGTGGCCTCCGAAGAGGCGAAGAAGAATAGTTAAAAGAGCAGCAAGAAGACTACGAGCATTACTAATCATATAGGGCTACGAAATCATAGCAAGAAAAGTAGCAGTCACACGACGATCCAGATCACTAGCACGCGTAAGTATCACACTGACATTAGCAAGAACAATACATGCATGAGTCTTGCTTTTACTAAACCTAGTAATATTAACAATGCTAGTAACCGTACTAGTACTAATACTACTATAACTAGTAATCGGAGGTTGGGGGTTTGGAGCGGAAGTGACCCCAAGAGGGAATCGATTTCGGTTTCGGTTTCGGTTCGTGTCGTGCGTGCCGGCGAGGCGAAACTGTGCGAGTTCCATCTTTACTAGAGGCCATCTATTGCCGAAAGGCTCGCCCCCCGAGCGCCGGGCGTGGCCCACGGTTGTCCCGATGGTTGTCCAAGCGGTTGTCCCGATGGTTGTAGTTGTCCCGATGGTTGTCCCGATGGTTGTCCCGATGGTTGTCCCGATGGTTGTCCCGATGGTTGTCCCGATGGTTGTCCCGATAGTTATCCCGATGGTTGTCCCGATGGTTGTCCGATGGTTGTCCCGATGGTTGTCCCGATAGTTGTCCCGATGGTTGTCCCGATGGTTGTCCCGATGGCTGGCCCGATGGGTGATAGATAAATGGATAGATGTTGTTAGATGTTGTCCCAATGGTTGTCCCGATGGTTGTCCGATAGTTGTCCCGATGGTTGTCCCGATGGTTGTCCCGATGGCTGGCCCGATGGGTGATAGATAAATGGATAGATGTTGTTAGATGTTGTCCCAATGGTTGTCCCGATGGTTGTCCGATAGTTGTCCCGATGGTTGTCCCGATGGTTGTCCCGATGGCTGGCCCGATGGGTGATAGATAAATGGATAGATGTTGTTAGATGTTGTCCCAATGGTTGTCCCGATGGTTGTCCGATGGTTGTCCCGATGGTTGTCCCGATGGTTGTCCCGATGGCTGTCCCGATGGTTGTCCCGATGGTTGATCGGTAGACATATGGATATATATATATATATATACACATATATACATATTTATATAGTTATTTCTGTCGAGATATCTGTAGAGAGATAGAGATTCTGGCACAGGTCTATATACATATATTATCATACATTTAGACACACATATATAATTACATATCGATATATATATATATGTATATTCGATACATAGACACATGCAAGTTTGTGCATATTGGTTGATCGATCGCTCGACTGATAGACTGATAGATCGCTATCTCGATATCTATATACATACATGCGTATATTTATAGTTTGCTGCCCCACATAGAAAACCATATGTGCATATACATATAGGCCGATAGATAAACGGGCAGATGTGCGCGACATTAAACAGTTGAAGACACCACCAAATAACAGAGCCATCGCAAATCGACCGCCTCCCCATTCCCCCCAAACCTCCTTATCACCCGTAGGGTGGTCCTATCGGTACCAATCTTATTATTAAGAATCACATAATATTAGCAACACTCATAATCCTACTACGATGCATACACAAACGTTCGCGGGGTGCCGCGCGGATTTCCCAGGCCATTCGTTCGGGAGTTCGTCTTTACAGGCGCTCCAGACCGTCGGGTGGAAACTGCTGCAGCACGGGACGACACAAGAGGACTGTCGTTGCACGTTCGGCAGGGTGCTCGCCATTTTTCGAGCCTCTTTACCTCGCGGCCCGCGCACGAGGCTGATCCCATCATGCCAGGCCACCCCTCGGGGAGTAACCAGGCAGGGCAGGCAGGGAGAGGCAGGCGCGAAGCAGGCCTGGCAGGGACTGCGGGCACCCTCGTGGATCTCTCTCTCTCTGCGCCGATGGCCGAGGACCGCAAGTGGTTCGAGAGCCTCGAAGACGGGGACGAGCAGCTGCCGAGCGGCGGTAACAAGGACTACTCCTGGTCGCAGACCGACGACGAGGTGGAGGCCCCTGGGCGGCCTGCCGGGCCGTTGGAGGGCCTTCTGCTGGGAGGGAGGAGTGCCTCGGGCAGGCCTGGGATCGGGACACATCGCCGCAGAGCGTCCCGAGCTCTTTCGGGGCTCTCCGGAACGCTTTGGAACGGCCCGCGGCGCCCGACACATCCTCCAGACCCGCCGGTTCTCGGAGATCCCCGATGTTCTCCCGACCCGGTTTTGTCCCGAACTTGGCTTCCTCTGAGTCTGATGGTTGGTGCGCTGGGGCTCTCCCCACGAGACTCGCGCAGCATGTTCTGGATGGGGCACGCCCCTCAAGAGGCGCTTGGCGTCGGCGTGCCTCTTGCCCCTTGGGCCTGTGGAGGGGGGGGCGGGGACAGTCGTCGTCGTCGTCGTCGTCGTCGTCGTCGTCGTCGTCGTCGTCGAATCTCTGACCCGAGGCTCCAGGGCCTGGGTCTGGCGCACAGACTTCAGGTCGCTGGGCCTCTGCTGAAGTCCTCGCTCTGGAGAGCCGGCCTCGGCTTCGGACCCCCCCTCCTCTTTCTGCCCCTGTCGGGCGGGGCTAGGACAGGGATACATCTTTCCAGAGCGTTCTCAAACGCCCTCAGAGCGGTCCGGAGCGCTCCAGGAAGGCCGCGGCGCCCGATACATCCTCCAGAGCAGACGGATCTCAGAGATGCTCGAGTTATGTCCCTGTCCGATTGCGAGGGCCGTACGGCCGTTGCCGTCGACACTGAAGTTAGACGACGACGCCGACGATGCCGACGACG